TTTTTTCATGAATAAACCAGTTGAAAAAAGAAAACTAAAAAAAAAAATAAAACAATTTCAAATCAACTCCGCCATAGATCCGCTAGGGACCCTTCTCAAAGTGGCACTGAAAAATAAATATTAAAAATATTACAATATTAAAATAAATGAAAAATAAAATTCTAAATAAAAATAGATTTTAACAGTAGACACAATTTTTTATATTATTAATAATGCGATAACTATAATAACATAGGCATTTTTTTTATTTTTCATTGGACATGCATTATGTAATAAAAAAAATTTTTCATCAAATTTATTCAAAATTTGAATTTCAGATCCACAATATTTTTAACATTTAAATTGAAGGCTGGTCGGTAGATTTTTAATTTATTTTATTGAGTAGTTTCATTATAAAAAAATTTTTAAACAAGAAAAAATTTCAAATCTCTTTACATTTACACAGCCAATTTTTCTAAATTAAAAAAATATTAAATGTGATCTTGCAAATAAGTGGTAGGAGCTTAAGCTCAACCTTAACTAAGTTATTCCAACATTAAATTTTTTAGAGAAAAATCTTTCAATTTTAGTATTTCCTTCTTGCTTGCTCATTTTTTTAGGAAAACAATCATATTTATTACGAGTCCGCTCCAAATTTTTCAATTAAAAATGGTCGTCAAACAAGAAGTCTAAGTTAACAACCACCACTGAAATTTTTGTAAAAAAAAAAAAAAAGTGAATAATTGAAATAAATAATATATGTTTATATTTATATATATATTTTTTTTTTCGGGGAACTGGGTCTCTGGACGCTATATATATATATATATATATATATATGTTGGTATATATATATATATATATATATATATGTTGGTAATAGACCATAATTTTTACAGTATTCTATAAATTCTACCGAAATATTTGGCGTTAATATGTATGTAGTTCGTTTTTTTTTTTTTGAGAAAAATTGAAAAAACGAACTACAAACATATTAACGCCAAATATTCGGTAGAATTTATAGAATATTGTAAAATATATATATATATATATATATATATAAACTTCATTAAATGTTTTTTCCCATTTTGCGTTAATCAACTTTTTTATAATACATTCAACAACTCGAAATTGGTTCAATTCATATTTATCCAATAAATGTGTCATAATGAGGCTTACAACGTTGGACATCTTGAGAGCAAAACGTTTAGAGACAATCCGGAATTAAAAACAAACATTTATGCCAGGTTTGTTGACAATATCTTCGTCATACGCATACAATATTCCAGAACAAGTCAACCAGCAACTAGCAACCCTGAACCGACCAAAATTGAATTTTACCATCGAACATAAAAGTGAAAATTCATTGCCTTTTCTGAATGTTTTGGTGCGCGTCAACAACATTTGTTTATTAGTGTTACGACCACATCACAATGCATACACAAAAAGGAGCTAGCAAATCTCACTTGCAATCTCCCATGCAACTCCAATAACTGCCAAATTCTTGACAACAACATAAAAATAATTTATCAAAACACCAACACTATACATCTAAAAATTGCAGAAGCTGTTCTAATAGATATCAATAAACACTAAATAAACATCCAACAAAGAATGATAACATCATTACCAACTTGACGCCTTAATACTAACTTCAATAACAATGAAGAATAAAGGAATGACAACAACAAAGATGAAGAATACGACACCAATAAAAACTTTGCTAAAGAATTAATTTTGCTTTGTTTAAAGAAACTATGTTAACATATATATATATATATATATATATATATATATATATATATATATATATATATATATAATCTACCAAAGAATATCCAAATTTGACTCTACAATCTACCAAAGAAAATTCAAATTCGACGCTTGTTTGACTAAAATGCCCGTGGAGAAACAGTTTTTTAAAAAATTTGAAAGTGACAATTCAGAGATAAGGGAAGAAATCAAAAAATTGAATGATGTGTATAAAACAATCGTATCTGAGGTTGCTGCAATTAGAGCCATTATTGATAAAAACGAGAACAGACTTATGCAGATAGATAGATCTGGTTCTAGGCTTTCTGGTGAGATCGCCAGCTTAAAGTCTGAATTGGGTAGAGCCAGTGTTGTTAGTGGCGAAATGGAAAAAAGTGTTCAACATGAAAATTGTTCAGAAAAAGTTGCAGGATGTCGTGGATAATAAGGAAAGAGAATCTAATGTAATAATATTCAGATTGAAGGAGGGACCAGATGACAAAGCAAGAGTTTGCCAAATAATCGATCATTTGACTGAAGGGGTATGCGGAGAAAAAAATGTTCTGAAACTGATGAGGCTGGGCAAAAAAAATGACAGCGTTATTAGACCAATTTTGATTAAATTTAATAATATTGAAGCAAAGTCATTTGTTTTCAAGGCATTAGAAAAATGAAGTCACTGAACGATGATTTGGCCTGTGCTAGATTAGGCCATGATCTCAATACTTAGAGGTCTTCAACTGCCAGGTACCAGAAGGCCGTGACGTCATCAGGTACAACGCCCCCTGCAAATCAATGGCCAAACGACCAAAGGGGCTCGAAAGATGTACAAAAGTTTTGGGGGCTTGGGCTATGGGGGCCGATGTGAGGAAAAAACTTAAAAAGTTGCTCATCGAAGCCAGGGTGGTGGAGGAGGGATGCAAGGAAGGTTTTTTATATCGGGTAAAAGGGGATGTGGGAAGGTGGAAAATAGTGCGGTTTCGAAAGGAGAAATAATTGAATTGGCAAATAGTAGGTGTGGTTCTATATATGGTTTAATTTGGTTGGTTAAAAATCATTCTTGTGTTTTGTGGAAAAATGGTATTGATGGTAAAATTCAAAATAGAATGGGAATTGGGTTGTTGAATGTAAATGGTGTTCATGGTTAGATGTGATGGGCTGGATGTCTTGGAGCTCACTGAAACTTGGCATGGTACGGCTAATAATAATTCTGTTCGGTTGGCTATGTCGTTCGGATTTTGGTATGTTGATTATGTTAGGCAGCACGATCCAGGTCATGGTGGCTTGATTGTATATTTCCGTAAAGATTTTGGTTATAAAAAGTTTGTCTATATAAATATTTATATATATATATATTGGTTGTTATCTTGTGTTAGCTGTTTTTGCTATTTGTCGAGTGTTGAAGTTTACAGCATTGGTGTCGGAAGTAAGATTTTTGATAGATTGAAATTTTCAGCAATAATGAATGCCGGGAGTTGAAAAACTCGATACAACTAATTTGTAGAAGAAACTACAAAAACAAAACTTCGACTCGTAAAGAACGAAGGTACTTTTAATAAACCGCCTAAGGGACTCTCTGACAAACGAAGGTAACGATCTGGATATGTTTAGCTTTCCGGATTTTTTATAGAAGAAATTAATAGAACTTTTGATCAACATACAGCCAAAATGATTAGAACAATAAAATTGGCCTTTGAAAGAACCTCACCTAATGAAGCGATAATCAAAAACAAAACAACACACAAACAGCTATACAAGATCTAAACATTATCTTACCATCATGTTATCTATATATCATACAACTACAGTAGCGATCGCAAATCAATTTTTCCTACGGATGATTTCGACAGCGATGCACGTGATATCTGCGATGCACGTGATAATCTTGACGTACGCGATAACTGCGGCGCACGTGATAACTGCGGCGCACGTGATAACTGCGATGCACGTGATAACTGCAATTTAGGTGTTAACGTGAAGAAAAGTAGTTATCGTAATGATGAAGATGATGACGAAGACGACGATGAAGGTTTTAAAAACGTTGGAGAGTTGACAGTGACAAAGACATTGAAACCTTTGTTTTGCAATAGGTCTACTACTCGGATCTTTCTGCCAGTCGCTCGCCTGCTCTTATTTCCAATGTTTATTACTATTGTAATGAAGAAGATGATGACAAAGAAGACGATGAAGGCTTTGAGAATAGTCCAGAAGTTGATAATGACATTGAAACTTTTGATATACAGTGGGACTACTACTCGGACCTCTCTGCCAACATCTTACCTGTTTCTATTGAGAACAACAACAGCAACAGCAATAATAATACCGAATACGATTTTAATGCAACACTCACCAACAATTAAATTCAATTTTATGATGATTTGGATAAGGCGTTTATCTGTGAAAGCATTAATTGAAAAATTAACAATCTCAGTGAGGTTGATGTTAATGCTGATATGATTATTCATTTCGGACACGAATTGGTGACAGATGATGTTTCAAGTTTTGAGAAAATTTTTCCAGCACGCACTTGGAATGATAGCTTGATTTTTGTTTACCTGGATGATGATTTCCATCACGGCTTCATTGCTGATAAGGATGAAATTAATCGCTGCATCACTGATCGACAGGGAAGATGTCAACAACGATTGTTACAACATGTATTTAAGCTATCCGTCTTGTCATTCTACAACTCGTAAACTCAATAGAAAGTAAGCACTTGCTTCAAGTGCCACAAAATTAAAAAAGGACTACGACGTCTGCCTATGGCTAGAAGAACCGAAACAAAGGAAGCGTGGCGTGACATGGCATGCTGGTGGACCAATCTTAAACGTTCAACCAAGTTTGCATTTGGAGAAGTTGTGTCCATCTATCGGAAATTTTGAACCTACAGAATAACGATAATTTGACTATCGCTAGAAGCTAAAACACTGGCGTTGGAAATATAGAGATCTTTGAAGTTATAAAATTGGTGTCTGTAGTAACAAGCGTTGATGTTACAACAATACTTTGGAAAGATCTGTGCAAAAAAATCTCTACATTTGTTTAACGTTATTTTGTAGGTTCAAGATTTCCGATAGATGAACACAACTTTTTCAAACGCAAACTTGGTTGAAGGTTTGGTTAGTCCACCGGTATGCCAACTGGTACAAGATTTGTTGTAAACTCACACATACATATCTTGCATTCAAAACTGTACTTTGTAACCAATTTCCAATAAGAACCTGTTATTTATTTATTTTAGAATTTATTTTATAACTAATTTATTACAGAGATGATACACTTGAAGATGTATTTGTTCATCAAACTGCCATTACATTAAATAACCCAAGTCGTTTTCTGAAAAGCTTAGGCGATGGAGAGAAAGTGGAATTTGATCTTGTTGAAGGTATTAAAGGTATAGAAGCAGCTAATGTTACAGGCCCTGATTGGCAACCCGTCATAGGAAGCATTTATGCTTCTATCAAAAGGTGGACCAATCGTAACAGTAACCAACAATTGAGTAAATTTGATCTAATTAATGGTATAGCAACCGCTGCGTCTCAATGTGCTTGTTTAAATGGAATGAGCAATAACAATCATTTGTTGCCAAATGCGAGCAAAGTAAATATAAACTACTTATTTTAACGATACATTTTTGTATTTGAAATGTGAACATTTAGGTTTCAGCTTTTATGCTTCAAAATCATTTAACAAATTTTTTATCATCTACTTTTGAATCTGATTCTAATTATCAAAAACTAAATGCTGGAAATAATTCAATGAAGTCTTGGCTCCCACTAGATCAGCAAATAAATTCTACATGTCTCAATACTGGTTCACAGCGTTGGATATCCTCTGTTAAACACTCTTATCTAGATCATTCACTCAGTGAACTAAGCAGCAATCATCACTTTATGCTTACACTTCGATCTTCAAAATCAGAGCCTCTGAAAAGAGTTGCAAATGAGTTGAATACTAATAGCAAACATGAACAAGAAATTGAAAATAACGACCAGATAACTTTAGCGAACAATGTGAGCTTGGCTGCTATGCAAAAAAATGAAGCATCAGAAACATATAGGTTAGTGTAGTTTATATTTTATGGATATAAAAATTAATTTTTAAATTTCTAAGTATATTTTAATATGGATAAAAAAATTAAATTATCTATAATCAAATTGATCATTTTCTTATTGTCACTTTACATTCTCCTTACAGATATAATATGTAAAGCCCAAAGATGATGTATAAAAATATAATAATGCTGAATAATGCATATCAGCAGAGCCATAGCCGTACCGTACTATCCCAGATGACAATAACTTAAATCAATTATTTTTTATTGTTTTTTTCTACTATTTGTTTTAATTTTTGTTTTAATTCTCATTTTCCTTTCTTTCAATACTACCAAAACAATTCATCTCGACCATGCATTTAACTCACAGTACTTCCTTTTTCCAATATATCAGCTGAATTTTATATTTTGCCTTCCAGTAATACAGCTGATTCATAAGACATCCGCATTCCAGTTCTTTAAAATCTTTCTAAATTTTCAGACTCTTTTATTACCTGCAGCTTCCAATTTATACCAAATTAATTTCTCACTTTTGTGCTCAACACGTCCTACCTCGGGAGAACTGGGTCTCTGGATGCTCAACGAAGATTGATTGGTTGATTGATTGATTGATTGATTGATTGATTGATTGATTGATTGATTGATTGATTGATTGATTGATTGATTGATTGATTGATTGATTGATTGATTGATTGATTGATTGATTGATTGATTGATTGATTGATTGATTGATTGATTGATTTGATTGATTTGATTGATTGATTGATTGATTGATTGATTGATTGATTGATCGATTGATTGATTGATTGATTGATTGATTGTGCTCAATACACTTGTATTTGAATAAAAAATCAGTGGTCAGTTGAAAAATGTGGTAACAAATTATCAGATGCTAAAAATTCGGTAGACTATTGTTAATTCTTCATGGCTGTTTGATAGACGTACTAAAAACTAAGTTTATGTCTAAGTAACTGTTGTGAATGTAGATACCATTAGGGTTGCCACCTCTCAATATCGGAATTCCCGGAGAAATTAAAAAAAATATATGTGTATGTGTTTTATGTGTGTGTGTGCACGCGACGACTGCTGCTGTGGTTTAGTGGTTAGAGCATTGCTCAATGACGTTCGCGTCATCGGGTTTGAAACCAGGCTATGCCAGATGTCCAAGGTTATCATATTGGTGTATATGATGCGGTGATTTGAGCATGCACTTAAGCACGTCGTTTGGATAGCGAAGTTGAACGTTACGAAAATGGCGCTGTATAGAATTTGAAATGAAATGTTGCGTGTGGACAAAATGTGCATTACGTATATAAATTTCAATCTTATTTTCAAAACGTTTGGTTAAATAAAATAACCCCCAAAAGTTGAGTGAGAAACACTATTTTATTTAATTTTTAACAAAACATTATTTCAAGTTTTGCAATAGTTTGTAAAAAATTATTTTTGCTTAAAAGTGTACTTTAGATTTTATGTTGCAGCTGCGAATAACCTTGAAGTCTTCAACAAAGAGGTTATAAAATTAAGAATAACTGTATTTTACCTGCAGCTCGGCTTTCAATACACGTAGACCAAAACGATTTCGTTTTTTTGTCCACGCAAAAATCGTAATCGTGAAGCATTGGAAACAGGAACAGAAAATACGATAAAAACTATTTTAAATAATTCATTTCCGAAGTTTTTGTCCTTAAGTTTGATAAAATATTCCTACCATCTGTCAACCACGTTTTCGCGTTTCTGAATAAATAGTGTTTGAATACTCAGCAACGCACAAAAATCATCGTAAAATTTGTCTAAGTCAATGTTTATTTTCAAAAAATTTTTTTACCAGTTTCTGGAAAGAAGGCCACTCCATAGGATCTTTCAACGTTAAAATACTCATTGAATGAAATATAAGGTATTCATAATCATACCATTGGTCAAGATAACTTGAACATTTAGTGTAGAACTGATCAACTTCGTTTTTGAAAATTGTTTTTTGTCTGTATGCTGTTTTTTGTCTGTAAGCTCTTCAAAAATGTTTGCAGCAGCTGTTTCAAAAATATTTTCTTGTTCGTGATCTTTGATTTTCTGTCTAATATCAACCATATTGCCATATAATTCAGAACTTGTAGTTTGGTTGGACTCAAAAAAACATTAAAAAAAACTTTAAAACATTAGTTTGAAACAGTTGCATTACATTTTGTATGAAATAGAAGTTTATGAAAAAAATTTGCTTTTTTCATCATTGAATGCATCCCAAATTATTTTAAAACAGTCTTCTTCTCCTTGGGAAATAAAATATGACCTCAAAACTGGCCAAACTAAAAAAAATTTTCAACTGCTGGAAAAACAAAATATTACGACTATTTTTGAAAATTTAGCGCACGACGCCGAGGCTTAACCAAACATAAATGTGTGATTAACCCAAGCCAACATTTATAGTTTTTTTTAAACTGAAATTTTGTTATGACTGGCTTGGGCTCCAACATTTTTTTTAACATTTTCAAAAATATGATAGCTGCCAAATTCCGGGATATTTTTGAGACTTGTAAAAAACCCGGGAGACGGAAGATGAGGTTCGATTCTTGGAGTCTTGAGAGAGGTGACCGCCCTAGATACCATTGCGTCGCAAGCGAACGTTAATTTTGTCGCTAAGTTTAAATAATTGTAAATACGCAGCTTTAAAATTATTATTAATTTATTCTGAATAGTGTTATATGTTTTTGCTTCATAATTCAAATTCGTTTTTATAATTTATAATTGAATATTCTATGTTTTTAAAATAATCTACATAGCTTTTAAAAATTTTATATTTTTATCTGCAGATATGACTACTATCATCGCAATCTCCTCCAAACTTATGATCTCTTTAACAACACCAACTTATACCGTCTACAATCTTCGTTAGAAAGAGGAGAAGGTGATGTTTATACTGTGCCCAGATATCAGCCTGAGAACAGCAGAAACTGTTCTGCATACATTGACGATGCATCAGCCTTATCGTATGTAAATGCAAAACATTTAGACAGCAAGATATCATGTACTATTAACGGTTTCAAAGAACGGAAAGCTATTCGTAAAGAATTTGCAGCCATGCTGAAAGAAAAAGAAGAGATAGCACCGTCCTCATTAACAACGCATAGCGTGATGATTCCAAAACATAATTATTCGTTTAGCTATTATAAACAATTCAACTTAAATAACAGTAGTAGTAATAGTAGTAGTGGGTTTAAAAAACACAATATCGACTTTAATATAACCGGTATTCCATTAGAATCTGAAAATAAAAATTATGTGAGTCAAAAATATTTTTGAAATTTTTGTGGCTTAAAATTGTATTTGTTAAAACCCCAGTCTAGAAAAACTAATGATCAAGCTGCTTCAAAGAATGATATCGACTGAGTAGTTTTAGACGAGGTGTTACGTTGCTTTGACCTAGGCATTTTGTAAACGTAATTTTTCTGGCTATCTTGTCATTAAAAATAATAAGTCTTAAGCCCAGTTTCTATTTTGTTAGTTTTCCGGAATCCAATTAAAAAAATTTTTTTGATATTTTTATGATTAAACATTGTTATGTGGAAAGAATAATGTTAATCATAAATTTTGTAACTCTTTGATCAATATTTTGCAGCTCCTCTTTGATAAAAACGGCCAGAAATTGTCCTCAATGTCAAAACACAACCCAAATGTTCAAAATAAAAGCAGCCAGTGCTTTTCCGCTGTTATGAAGAACACTACGTATGCAACAAAACTTGACCCTTCGCCAACTGACATAAGAACTAAGGAAGCCTATGTGAATTTCGTAGGAAATGAAGTTTTGAACGAGATGCAGCTGGAATTAAAAAAAGCATGTACAAACATAGTGACCTTTATACATGATATTATTGTTAAACAACAAACAAATGAAGAAAGTTTGAAAAGTATTCCAGAGGACGACGAAGAATCAATTGTGTGTAACTATGATAGTGATAAGTACAAACAAATTGATTTCCTAGATAGAGAAGAGTATGAAAGAAAACTTAATAAAGAAAAAAATACAATTAGTTATCAACATAATTTGGATTGGAGAACAGGAGATAAATTATATACAACATCCAACATTGGAGGGACCGACCACGAGCCCAGTTTGATAGAATTTATTGACTTTGAAAGTGATTCAACTTACAGAAATAAAGAAAATAGTGAACTTGAAGCCAAAAGTAATATTGACTGCAAAAATGATTACAATGATGATTTTAATGACACGACGTTATCGGAGTCGATTGTAACTACGATAAAAAATACTATGATTAATATTTCAGGAAAAAAGGAAAAAACAATAAGATGTGATGTTCTTAAAAAGAATAATAACAATGATCCTGGTAAATTTATGACGAAAAATGAATTTGGCGGAGAAATGAGTGTTGGAGCCATGCGAAGATTTTGTTCAATAATGGATTGGTTAGGAGGTAGCACTAAAAGTTTAAAAAATACATCTTTGCGTATGACCCACTTGAGCACAAACGAGAATATAGCTAGAAAACATTACTACAAGCGTGATGTTTTAAAAAATTATGCTTCTTTTTCTGATAGCGACATCCACATTGAAACCAAAAGCTCTTCGTTTGACCAAATAAAAAATAATTTATGCACTATATCGACAATATCGTCGTCCTCATCCGCCAGCGAATTGTTCATGTTACAAAAAGATTTATTAATGCAAACTGTTGAACGAAGCGGTGAAAGCATGTCTGAACAGGTGTATTTATTTTATTATTATTATGTTTATTATTATTATTATTATTATTAACCCTAACCTTTAACTCTTTGTGCTTGATTATCAGACATTATAACCAAGCTTAAATGGGTTCGTACAAGATCTTCTCATAAATTATTTATAGGCTAATCGATTTTGGTCAAAACAATGTGCTTGTGTGGTTTTATTAATAGAAATGGTTGATCGAAGAAATTATAAACGAAAGTTTATTTTTAAAAAATTATTTATTTTAAATAGTAATTAAATTAGAAATATAAAGTATAATAATATCAGTTCATTGTATTTTTAAAGATACGCCACTACGGTTTTCGATACATTTAACGGTTAACTACCGGTGTGGCAAATCTCAAGAACTTAGTAGTTTATTTTTAATGAAATGAATAATAAAATTTTTTATTAATATCGTAATTGATTTGGATAAAAGGATTGACAAAAATAGGTTTCAATTGTTGTACTTAAAACTTACATTTTAATAAATAATAAAATATTTAAATTAAAAATTAAATTATTTAAAAATATTTAAATTAAAAAATATTAAAAATTAAAAAAATGAATGGAACAAAATGAACTGAAGTTTACGAATAAAAAAAAAACCTATATCCTTGGTTGATTTATTATGACGGATACATATATATCGAATATATATATGTGTGTGTGTGTGGTGTGTGTGTGTGTGTGTGTGTACATATACATATAAATCGAAAATACATATATAGAAAATCAGCAATTTATAACATTGAGCAGCCGATAATACTATGCAGACAATGGGACCGTAATAATTCAGAACTATAATTGCAAATAGCATATATATTAAACAGCATTTAAATTTCAACTATTTACATGTTGTCCAAAATGATTGATTGTAGTGTTTTTTACGACAAAATAATATACCATATTCATAAAATACAAATTTTGCTATTATGTTAACGTTAATTAGAGTGTATGAAAGCACAAAAAGAATTTAATAATATCTCATGATAAAAAAATAAAATCAATCAATCAATTAGTAAGTAGAGAGTTCCAGAGAAAAGGGCCAAAAAAAGCAAAAGCAGATTTAGCAAAAAATAGTTTAACACGAGTTAAGAAGAAGAAGACGATCGTAAATCGTTTAGTTTCAATTAATATATCTGATAAGTACTTAGGAAATAATTTTGAGACTTAAACATAAATGTGCAAATTTTAAAAATTATTCTATGTTTTATAGGTAGCCAGTGCAAAAGTACAAGATATGAGATATATGAGAAAAGAAAGGAACACGAGCAACTAGACGAGCAGCAGAGTTAAAAGCTTTATTTAAAGGATAGAGTGTTGAATCAGGAAGACCATAATAGAGCGAGTTACAATAATCAATTCTAGATAAGATTAACTAAGTAACAAGGGGAAGAGTAGGATCATCAAGAAAAGGCAAAAGTTTTTTTATTCTACGTAAATGAAAGTAAGAACTTCTAGCAACACTATTAATTTGAGGAGAAAGAGACATACTAGAATCAAAGATAAAGCCTAGACTACGAAACTTATGAGAAACATCAAGAGTTTTAGAATCAGTTAAGATAATAGGAAGAATAGTAATTGAGTGTTTAGATTTATTTATTAAAGCAAATTAATTCCAATTTAGAAGGATTAAGTTTAAGACACATAGAGTCTGACCAAGCGATAATTGAAGAATGATATTGAAATAGATTATGAAGAACATTATTGAGATTATCCTGAGGTAACCCGAAAGTAAGAGTTGAAGAGTTAGAAGTAGAATTATTGAAAACGACAGAAGAAAAACGATTGCAGACAACTGTGTGTGTATATATGTGTATGTACATTTTTCTTGTATTTCAACAATCATGATCTTAGTTGTGTTTTGTTATTTTATTATTATTATGATTTTAATTCTATTTGAACGATGTATCGCATAATGATTTTAACCAGAGAACATATGTGTATATGTATTGGTGTACATATATGTATATTGGTTATACAAAGTACATTATTTTAATTTTATTTGTTTATTTTTGTTTCACGGTTTTTGGAGTGAGGTGGTGTTGTTTGTCACTAATTTGATTTTTTGTATTGATTTGGACATCTTCATAAAAAAATTATAGTGTTCTTATTTATTTGAGATTTTATCTTTTTAGGGCCCTTTTTCATGTTTCGTTTTTTTATGCGTTACATTAAAATAAACTTGTTTTTAAAAAAATCTGAGAAGAAAGAGACAAACTAGAATCAAAGATAAAGCCTAAACTATGAAACTTGTGAGAAACATCAAAAGTTTTAGAATCAGATAAGATAGTAGGAGGAATAGTAATAGAGTGTTTAGATTTATTAAAGCAAATTAATTCAAAGGATTAAGTTTAAGACACATAGAGTCAAACCAAGCGATCATTAAAGAAAAACTAAGATATAATTATGAAGAACACTATCGAGATTAGATAGAGGAAAAGAAGTATAAATAAAAGAATCATCAGCATATAGTTGACTAGTGAAAGAAAAAATATTAACAATACGAGCTACTATAAAAGTAAAGGTAGAAAAAAAGAAGTAGAATTATTGAGAACAAGAAAAGAAAAACGATTACAGAGATAAGATGAAAACCATGATAGACAAAAATCAGTAATATTAAAAGAATCATCTAGCAGCCTCAAGAGAATAGTATGATCAGAAGTATCAAAAGCAGAGGAAAAATCAAGAGCAAGAAGAAGAGTAAGATTACTATTGTCACTAGAGATATCGTTATGCATTTTGAGTAAAGAAGTTTCAGTAATGTGAGCAGGTCTGAAACCAGATTAAGATACGGGTAGCAAGAAGTTAGAGTTTAAATAAAATGATAAATGATTATAAACTACTTTTTCTATTATTTTAGAGATGAAAGTAATATTAGTAACATGTCTATAATTAGATAGAGAGAAGGATCTAAAGTTGAGTTTTTAAGAATAGGAATAACAATAGACTTTTTATAAGAAGTTGGAAATTTAAAGGTGGAAAGAGATAAGTTAACTAATTTGAGAATGATAGGATAAAATATTGAAGAAAATTCTCAAAGTAAATTAAAAGCAGGTAGATATAGAAAACAATTTGTAGATGACATAGAATTAATAATTTTAGTAAGTTCTAGAAGATTAATAAGAGTAAATACAGAAAAAGTTAGGAAGAGAAGAATGAGAATTAGATGTTCTTAAAGTTTTAATTTTTTTTTATAAAAAAATGTCATGAAACTGTAACTGTTGAGCAGAAAAGATGTCTGAGAAAATTTCTTATGAAGAAGTTTAGATAGAACAGACCACCTATTTTTAGATGTTGAAGCAGATATATAATTTCTACGAAAAGTAGAGTGTTCATAGATTAGCAGATATTTATAATGAATTAATTCAGATTCCTAGTTAGAGTAAAGAGAGTTAGATGGGTTTAACCTATAGGCTTTCTCCAGTCTTCTAACACTTTTCTTAGCTAATACACAAGCATAGTCGAACCAAGGAGCCTTACGAGAATAGAGCCTATAAGTAAGCTTTTATCAAGAATAGAAGTAATGTAGATATTAAAAGCATAGACAATGATCAACATCAGAAAATAAGGAAGTATCAAACTACTTTACTACTATCTGCAACAGACTTCTTTCTACTTTTCCTACTGTTTCAACTAATCCGATTTCATTCATAAGCCGCTCTCTACCTGATTCTATTGATTTTCACCCCCACCTCCACTTCTGAATTGATAACTTTAACTGCCAAGATGAAAAATAATAAATCTGTTGCTGCTGACGGATTAAATATGTTTTTGATAAAAAATACAATTAACAATTTAACAATTCCCCTAGTCCATATTTTTAATTTATATTTTTCCACCGGTGTATTCCCTGATACTTTTAAAACCTCTAAAGTTATTCTTATTTTTAAAAACGGTAAAACATGACATCAGTAACTATAGACCCATTTCTCTTCTCTCTCCGCTATCCAAACTTTTTGAAAAATTAGTTTACACTAGGTTGTTCTCCTTTTTTGATGCCAACAAAATTTTTCTAAAAATCAATACGGTTTCCGGTCAAACCACTCCACAGAGCTTGCTACTCTTGATTTCATACATCACATTTTATCCAGATTGAATGACAATAAGCTTTCAGTTGGATTATTTTTAGACCTTTCCAAAGCATTTGATGTAATCAATCATAACATCTTACTAAACAAACTAAGACTTTACGATGTCAGAAACGTAGCCAACGATTGGATTAGGAGTTATCTCTCTTCACGTAAACAATACGTCTCCGTTGAAAATCACCAATCTACTACGGCCTTCATCCTTAATGGCGTACCTCAAGGCTCAATCTTAGGCCCTCTACTTTTTCTAATCTATGTTAACGATATCCAAAATTTATCTACCGATATAAATTGTTTGCTTCATGCTGAAGATACCAACCTCCTATTTACTCCTGATAACATCTCAAACTGTTCTGATTCAATCAACCAGTGCTCTCTAAATATTCTGATTGGTTCTCTGCTAATAAACTCATAATAAACTACTCTAAGTGTTCTTACATTAACTTTGGCCCAATAATCCCAACTAATTTGTCTCCAAATTTAAACTTTAATATCAACAATAAATCGTGCACCTTCTTCTAAATTTTTAGGTATAATCATTTCTGAAAACCTTTCTTGGAAATCTCATCTACAATCTATCTCCTTTAAAATTAACAAACTCATAGATCTTTTCTACAAAATCAAGCACAAATTAACCAAATCCGCCTTAAAAAAACTCTACTATGCTTTTATTTATCCTCATCTCACTTAATGCATAACCGTTTGGGGTAACTCACCAAAAATTTATCTTCATTGTATGATATTGTCACAAAAAAGAGCTATATGCTTAATCTTCAACTTGAACCCTTTCTCTCCCACTAGCTTTTTTTATTAAACATAATATTTTGTCGAGTAGTTGTTTATACATTTATTTTACAGCTATTTTTGTTTTTAAGTTTTTAAATAATTTACTTCCTTCATTTTTTTCTAACTTTTATACACTCAGTGAATCTGTTCAAACTCTCAAAACTAGACACATTTTACTTAGTAAAAACTCATCTCTACAAGTTTAAAAACAACTGGCTCTAAAGTTTGGAAATTATTTGGGCCCCATGCCATTCATAACATAACAAACAAGCAACTCTTTATAAAAAGGTTGCAATCTCAGCTTTACTTACTTCATCCCGACACCACCATCTAACGATTTATATACATTAATATATAGCTGTTGTTTAAATATGAATGGGTGAGTGTTGTGCGTGTATGTGTGTGGTGCGTGTGTGTTTTTGTCTGTCCGCTAATATAATGATGATTTGATTACTTCATAAGTATTATCTGAATGTATTTCATTCTAGTTAACATTTTTATAAAATGTTGATATAGTATTTGAATGCATTTGAACGCTGAAATGGATTTTCTTAATTTCTAACCTTTGAACTTTTACGTTTATTTATGACTTAGTTAAGGGTGGTCTCTCCACATGTTTATTTTAAACTTATTTGGTCCTCTATAATGAAAAATAAATAAAATAATATATATATAAATATAAATAAATAATATATATATATATATATATATATATATATATATATTGCCAGATATTAATACCTCAAGCCATTATTTTTCATATAATTTATTTCTAGCAGCCTGAAAATCCTGAAAATAATTGTTATTTATTCCTTTTGCGTTATCACGTTGTGAGTTGTTTTGACCAATTTCTAAAAAAAAGGAAGATACTAAGTGCACCCTATGTGGTGTTAAAAAAATTGCGCTATGTCTATGTCCCATTTAATATTAATATATATGGATCATCAGTTATCGTTTTTTTTCTATTTTATGTTATTTTTATAGTTTTGGTGTTGAATGTTTGTGCTTGTGCCACGTTTGAGAATTTTATAGTTTTTTTTCTCATTTTTCTTTCTGTACTTGGAATAGATTTTAATTTTTTGATATGTTGATTAATTTTCAATAAGTTGCTTATTCAACTCGTGAATTCGCCTAAACATTTCCATAGCAATATTTTATATGTTGTTTTAACATAAACTCCTTGTTACATTAGCATTAGCAGCAACATAACAGTTATTTACCTCTTCCGGCCATTGTCTTATCACTTTCACACGCCATTTATCATCATCTGTGAACGTCATAATTATCGTAGACTACACTCGTTATGTCATTTGGAAAAGATGATAATATACAGTTCAAGTAGAGGCTGAAAAAATAGAAATGCTTGAACACGGCCAATGTCAATATTGTGTCTGCAATGGCCTAATATTATGCAATCTGATGCATGTGCCGCATCCAACTCTATCGACAATCTATTTGAGAGACATGCACCAACAAAATGTGCGTCGTTTCCGCGCAACTCACATATCACTTGTCGGTTTTTTGACTACAAAAAGAAATTGTCCTAATCTCGAAAATATGTGTTGTCGAAGTTATTCTGCTAAAGTTAGAACAAAATACACAATCGCCAAAGAGGCAACAATAAAATCAATCAAGAAGTCAAAAACATATTAATTTGCAATGGGCATAATTTGTCCAGTAATTTTGGTTTTTCTAATAAATGGTATTTGTAGTGTTAATTATAATATTGCGCTTAAACATTTGTAAATGTAGGACATCGTTCCGTGCAATATGAATATGGCTTATTCTAACAATACGGTTGTTCGCTCAACTGTCAAATCTAACGTTAAAGTTTCATGCAACATTTATAACTCAAATTCGGTTTAAATATAATTCTATTAATATCGAAAAAATATAGTTTAGTATTTTTCTATAGTTTTTTTGTGGCAAAGCTGTAGAGGCAGTAGTGTGGATTTCGTTTTAAATGTTTTTTGTTTCAGTTTTCGTTTAGTTTTGCCATATTTTTTGTTTCCGTTTCATTTTTTATAAATATCTTTCTTCTGGCTTTTATACCGTTTTGTAAATTTTTTCGTTTCCTTTTCCGTTTAAAAAAAATACAACACAAATTTTATAATAATTTTTATATATTATACAAATATTATTATATATTATACAAAGATTTTAAACTTTGTTTTTAAGAATTTTATCCATTTGCTTACAAACATGCGTAGATGTTTCAATTTTTGATCTAATTTTTTGAGCATGAATTGCACAGACTGCTTGTCGAAAATACTTAAAAACAAGTTTGCATCAATAAAATCGTCATTAATTTATCTCATTATTCTGTTGTATTCAATCGAATCTTTGTTCCAATAACTATTTTTTCCGATCGATTGAAACAAATTTTTGCAAACTTGATTTGGTAGATTCGTGACACCTTGTTAGCATTTTCTTTCTTTTGCTTTTCTTTGACCAATAGTTCTTGGTGTTCTTTTGCGTGATTTGTTACCATATGAGTTTTGATATTGGTTGAATTACCTTTTATTATTTTTTTACGTTTACCATCGTTGCACAATCACGTGCACTCATTATTTTCAATGGTCTATTAGAAATAGTAATCTCACCAAGACAATCTCTTCTACGTCCTGGAAGATTACTCATTTAAAATTTTATTTATTTTAAACAATTATTAAAAACAAAATTAATTAAAATTTCAACAATAAAAGTTCGAAAAAATGCGAAATGATGTCAACATTCAGCGTTTACGATCACAACCATTGGAATGACGGAAGGAAAGAAATGACAATCGATAACAATTGATGAATACAAAAACAAATTTAAACTAAGATAATAAATTGTATCTTAAAATTTTTAAAAATATATTGTAAAAATCG